TTTGATAGGAGGTTCATAGGCACTTCAGCCAGTTTGACTGTGTGTGTGTGTGTGTGTGTGTGTGTGTGTGTGTGTGTGTGTGTGTGTGTGTAAAACAGAGACCATGTGACAGGCTAGGAGGAAGTTCCAAAAGGGAAGTGCAGGTAAACATGTAGCCACAAGAGGGCGTGCATTTACTTTCAATAACAAATTAAAACACAGGAAAAACCTGATTGTTACATACCTAGCATTTACAAAATATTATTGACTTCATTATGAAGTATAGCTGAGGCTATAGCACAATGGCAGACCATTGCCCAGCGTGTCTGAGGCCCTCAGCACTACAAAGAAGGAGGAGAAAGAAGAGGCAGTAGAGGCGGCACATGCCTGTCATCCCAGCACACAGGAAGTGGAAGCCGGAGAATCAGGAGTTCAAGGTCATCCTTTGCTATATAGCAAGCTCAGTGTCAGCTTGGCTTACTCTGTCTCGTAACAATGACAACAAGTCATTACAGAAAATCAAAGAAGACAAACCCTTAATTACAGAGAGGTGCATAGATAGATAGTAAGCAAGTATAGCAGAGACGGAATGACAGAAGAGTTAATTTTATTTTTTACGTTAATGTATTTTTGTTGTTGTCGTTCTTTTGTGTGTGCGTAGGTGGGAATGTACAGGTACGTGCAGGTGCCTGAAGAGTCCAGAAAAGGGAGTAGGCCCCCTGGGGGCTGGAATTGTAGATGGTGGCGAGCCTTGCAGGGTGGGCGCTGAGAGCAGACCCAGGTCGTCTGAAAGAGCAGCGTGTGCTTCTAACCACGGAGCCTTTTCTCCAGCTCCACCTGAGTTTGTCAAAGGATCTGGACAGTAGGCACAAAGAGCCGACTCTGAGCCAGGTGGCGGTGGTGTACACCTTCCTAGCATTTGGGAGGCAGAGGCAGGCAGATCCTGTGAGGAGAGCCAAGGCTACACAGAGAAATTCTGTCTTGGGGAAAAAAAAGTTTACTTTTTTATGTGAAAAAAAAAATTTTTTTTTCGAGACAGAGTTTCTTTGTGTAGCTTTGGAGCCTGTCCTGGATCTCGTTCTGTAGACCAGGCTGGCCTCGAACTCACAGAGATCCACCTACCTCTGCCTCCTGAGTACTGGGATTAAAGGCATGTGCCACTACCACCCGGCTTATATGAAATTTTTGATTGTGTATTTTTGGTATGTTTTTTTTAGACAGAGTCTCACTATGTAGCCCTGGCTGGCTTGAACTGAAACTCTCCATGTAGACCAGGCTGGCCTCAAACTCATGGAGATATGCCTGTCTCTGCCTCACAAGTACTGGAATTAAAGGCATGTACCACTACAGCTGGCTACTACATCCAGCTTTTCAGAGTTTGGGGTTGAATCAGGGCTCAGAGCATACCACACCATCATTGCACTAACTGAGCCACATCCTAGGGTTCACTCCCAACCTCCTTTGTAGTACAATCAGGCCCTGAACTCACCATCATTCCACCTCAGCCTGTTGGGTGCTTAGATAACAGTCACATGATATCACAACCAGCTTCTAGGCTTTTTTGGTTAATATATTAGTACATAAAAATTAAAAAAAAAAGCAAACCGGGGGCGAAAAAAAAAAACTTTAAACCCAACAACCAAAAACCCGGCCCAAAAAAACAAAACAAAACAAAAGAACTGGGCATGGTGGTGCATTCTAATAATTCCAGTACTCAGGGGTGGAGGCAGGAGAATTGCTGCAAGTTTAAGGCCTACATATTGAGTTCTACATTTAAGGCCTACATATTGAGTTCTACATTTAAGGCCTACATATTGAGTTCTACATTTAAGGCCTACATATTGAGTTCTACATTTAAGGTCTACATATTGAGTTCTACATTTAAGGTCTACATATTGAGTTCCAGGCCACCCAGAATGACATAGCAAGACACTGTCTTGATAAGTAAATAGGTCTTTATTAACTGAGTATGTTGGTATGCACTTGCAGTCTTGGGTATTAAAGAGATTCAGACGAAGGGCAGGTGGTGGTTGCGCACACCTTTAATCCCAGCACTCGGGAGGCAGAGGCAGGTGGATCTTTATGAGTTCGAAGCCAGCCTGGGCTACATAGTGAGTTCTGGGAAAGGTGCAAAGCTACACAGACAAGAGGAAGATTTTTTTTTAATCTTCTTTTCTTTCTTTCCTTCTCTCTCTCTGTCTCTCTTCCTTCTTTCCTTCCTTCTTTCCTTCTTTCTTTTTTTCTTTTTTAAAGCAGGGTCTCTTTATATAGTCTTGACTATCCTGGAGCTCCCTATGTAGACCAGGCTAGGCTTGGAAATAACAAAAATCCTCCTGCCTCTGCTCCCTGAGTTTTGGGATCTAACGTGTGTGCCATCATACCTGCCTGGCCTCACTCCAGGATTTCAAGACCAGTAGGGGCAACATAGAAAGACTTCATCTCAAGCCAAGTGCAGTGGCTACAATCCCAGGAAAATGTGTTGATCTACGTTATTCAATAGACCATCAACTGCTGTATCAGGGTTGTGAGCCAATCTTGGAGAAGCCCAGATATGGAGGCATGAGTGTTCTATATAATTCTGGAAAATTGATCAGCTACTATGTCTGTCGGGGTCCAGGTAATACCTCCTGTCCTGTGCTAAGTGCAGATGGAAGCTCAGTAGGAGCTCCTCTCTGTCATCCAAAGATACTGTTATGGGCCTTGTGGGGAGCCTTTAACCTCAGGACCAAGGCAGAGAGATCTAGGATAAGAATCAGAACAATAGGGCCTAGCCTGCAGTGATCTGTGCAGATGAGGCCTAGAACTCTGCTTTCTCAGGGCCTTAACACTTGGACAGCCAACAGAACCGCTGCTTAAAAAGTCATTTGTGAAAGTTAAGAGGAAGGGGGCTGGAGAGAGGAAGGGGGCTGGAGAGAGGAAGGGGGCTCAGAGGTTAAGAGCACTGGCTGCTCTTGCAGTGGACCCGGGTTTGATTCTCAGCACACTCGGTGGTTTACAGGCATCTGTAATTCTAGTTTCAGGGGATCCGATGCTCCCTTTTGATCTCTGATGGCACCGGGCACATGCATGGTACATATACATATATGCAAGCAAAACACTCATATATAGAAAACAAATCTTAAAAAATGTTAGGAGGAAGAGCCTTCCTAGCTAATCATATTAGCTTAATGTCTATCCTCTGTGGTGTGAGATATAGAGTGCTAGACCAAGAAATAATCT